TATTAAGTTCTTTTAAATAATTTTGTTTACTTTACTGGACAGTGAACAAACGGTTAATGTAACAATAAAAAGCGGCTACTTTATGTTGCCACGGATGACATGATGACGCGGGGATGACCGTGTCGGTGTGAGTTGGCTTTCGATAAATTTGGAAAACATGTGACGATTCTTTTCTTGTTATTGTTAAGTCGAGAAAATTAAGGGAACAATCTTGTTCCAATTCAAGTTTAAATTTAATTTTGTCATGGACTTTATTTATTTTATTGAGGAAAACATCCAGTTGTCTCCTTGTGCCAGTCCAGCAAATAATTATGTCGTCTACACATCGATAGTAATATAAGATATTTTGATTGACAACTATATGTTGTTTTTCGAAATTATCCATGAAAATGTCCGCCATAAGGGGACTTAGAGGGGACCCCATAGCTAACCCTTCTTTTTGTAGATAGAAACGGTTATTAAACCGTAAATAGTTTTGTTTCATACAGAGAGAGGTTAACCTACTTAGGCCCCATATCTGAAAAAGTAGCTAATACTCTTCGACAAAACGGCGTTCATGTGGCGTTCAAAACAAACAATTCTCTTAGAAATATCTGTAATAGTAAAGATAAGTTGGATATTCGTCAAAAGTCAGGTGTTTACAAACTTGTTTGTGACGAATGCCACGCCGTTTACGTGGGTCAGACTGGTCGCAATTTCGAGACACGTTATAAATAGCATTTAGCCGCGTACAGGAATTGCAATCCCGATAAATCCCATTTTGCCAAACATCTTTTGGACACTGGACACAACCTAGCCAACGACCACTCCTTTAAAGTCTTACATACGTGTAATAAAGGGCTACGGCTGTGTGTGCTGGAACAGTTAGAGATATTAAAAAGTAATAATAATACCGTTGCATTGCTGAATGAACAAACAAATGTTACTAACTCACCTCTCTTAAATATCTTCAAGCCTGCTCTCTAATAATAGAGAGCCTCGCAATATGGTCGTTTGTCACCCTCACGGTGATCGGCGATTGGTTGCGTGGTTGGAGGATGGGCGTTGCGCGGCGGTTTGTTTTTAATTTTACAAACGGCTGCGTAAGTCCAGCGGTGATTGGTCGCATGTTTTATCGCATGACGCAGTCGCTCGCTTCTTAGGTAGAGAGCGGTTACATCATCGGTTTGTATAAAAAGCACTTGTTTTGGCTCGCCGCTCACTTAGCGGTTAGCCACCGTAGAGTCTATATCACCTGAGGATGCCTCGTGTAGAGGCGAAACACGTGTCGTATTATCGTCAGTGGTGTGTCTTGCCTAGTGTAGTGGTGTTGGGAGTAGCGGTGCTGGGATTAGTGGTGACGGGGATAGTGCACGCAATTGAGGGAGGGCGGGAGGTGCTTCTTCATATTAGGTAAGACACATCATTTTATTTTATAACGCAGATATTTGCGAAGTAAATTTTTGTAAAAGCTTTTATATAATGGGCAAAAAATTAAAGAGCAAACCACTGACGGATTGTTTTGTGTATTAATATAATACTCTACAAACTGATAAACTTTTATTAAAAACCACTTTCTCAATTAAATTACATCGTGTAACTAAAAAACTTCATCTCAGTGTCAACTAGCGACATCTAGTGAGCAGAAAATTAAAAAAAGATAAAAAAATCACGAACGGGAAAAATCAACCTACCGACAACCGACTCTTGAAGTAAAACTCGAAAAAAATTCATAATCAGACATTTTTGAAGAATTTGAGCGTGGAAAAAATACCTATATAATAAAAACAACATTTCTATGATCTGGTAAAAGTTACTTACCACTTCATGATTGATTAATTAATGTCTGTGATATTTTTACCAGAGAAAAAATTTAAGTAAGGTTTGGCCCTAGCACTAAAAGCACTAGTATTTGTTAATTAAACATCAATTTTTCTAATAAAAAAATATTCAATTTCGTGATTCAAAATCACTTTCCCGAAATAAAACAGCCTTCTAAATTAAAATTAAAAGTACCTCCACAAGTTACAAATATCGTCAGAAACCTTCGGTTTTATGAAAATAAAAAGAATTCACAAGTACATTGTAACGCTAATTACTTAGAATTATTTAACGAACTATAAACTTCTTTAGAAGATCACCAGCTGAGTGACCGCAGCGAAATCAGTAATGGCGGTTACTAATCAGTTGGTGGACCTCAAGGTACATAATCGGCTGGAAGTTTATAATGGTTTCTATGATTTTGGAGGACAAGGAGGTAATAGGTTTGTAGCTGAACTGTCGCTATTTTCAGGTATCGGGTACACTAAAGCTATCTCCATGAGTTCGGGACTACCCCTACGCCTAGTAGGACATGTCTTTAGCACAATATGAAGAACTTCATCAGGTTTACCCGACTTGTTAACATTCAGAGAGAGGAGTGCTTTGCGCACTGAGCACTCACACTGCAGAATGGTCAGCAGTGTGTTCCTCCCGTCACTGAGAGTCGAGTTGGATGCCAAAAGAGAGCCTAACAGATCGGCTTTCTCTTTTGCGGCATGGGCCAATGAATCGTCCTCCCTGTGCAGAGATGAAAAAGATGGCTGACAGAAGTTCCCTTGTACAGCCTTGGCGAGAGACTAGAATTCTCTACGACACGGGACTAACATCTCGCCAATTCTGCAGATTTAAGCACGAATTAGTGCACTGCTTTGCGTTCTTTTGTAGGACCTAGAAGCGGAACTTTCTTAATTTTATTATACTTCTTATATTTTATTTAACTTCTTTTCTGCTTGGTGTTTACATCCTGGGATACCGACACGTCAGCCCAGGCCCAGTAGCACTCCTGCTTATGATAAGATGCAATTTTAAATGAGCTATCAAACCATAGCTGGGATCTACCTCCGAGGGGCACTATAGATGATGAAATAAAAAGGTACATTCCCTGAAGTCTCATATCAGCGACAAAATCAGCAAAAAAGTTGGAATCATCCGGTGAGAAGCAACTTTGAAATACTTCAAAATTATCAAATATTTTTCTTAGAATGACACGACATTATAATGTTCAGAAACATTTTGTATTGGTAAGGAGTCCTGCAAAGAAAAACAAAATTATGTTATCATCAAAATAAAAGTTAATTATATTAACTAATCCTTGGTAGGTATATAATCTTCTAACGAGGTACTTGGGACTAATACCGGCATTAATTAAAACTAGGTCTATTAATTTCGATAAACGCAGGTCCTTTCGCAGTTGTAAAATATGAGTAACTCACAACTAAAGAATATTATGTAACACTTAAATGAAAATAATTACCGCTTCTCTAGACCAAGCGGCGGTCATTGGGACGCGCGGTCACACACCTATTCACCAAGCGCCAGCTTGTAGCACGGTAATTAAATTTTTTGTTCCTAATTACCACTTCAATATTAAATCACAACCTATCTACACGACAGTTCAAGATCAACGCGGAAGGCTCAACTGACTCTTTATTAAATAAATATTCCTGGAAGAGATATCTTAACGCCAAAATATATTAGAAAATGGCAGGTCACATTCATCTAAGCGACAAAATTACAGGAAGGAAAAATATCACTTAACGACATCTTTTTGTTAATCAGACCTGGTAAAAAATATCTAAATGACAAATAGCTAATATTAAGGACAGGTAAAAAGGTAAAAAAATAAAATTTTTACATAGGAAAAGATAGCCAAATAAATTTTTGATTTTTCAAAAGGTCAGGAAAAAGTAACTTAAAACAAAAATAATTTATATCAAAAACAGGATAAATTTACTAAGTAGAAATACGGTGTATTGAAAATTGTCCTAAACGCAATATTTTTTTAAATGACGAAAATTATCGTCGGTTGGTCGCCGAAAACTACAAAAAATCCTCGAATTTTAAAATAACTAAACGACATTAAATTCATCGTAGAAGCACGAAAGTAGAATCAATCGACGCAGAAAAAAAACTGATTCCAATTATATATATATATATATATATATATATATATATATATATATATATATATATATATGTATATAACTCAATATCGACCAAAGTGTCGCTTGGTAACTTTTTCCTTTCCAGCGTCGATATATATATAATAAAGTTTTTCACCTATGTACTGACTCATCACGATATCTGGACCCATAATAAGGCTTAGAGACTTGAAATTTGTTAGAAATATTCCTTTCGCCGAGTAGAGGTTAGCTAAGAACGAATTTTATGAAATTACACCCGCAATTGCAGCGGTTGAGGGGCGTTAATTAAAAAAAAGTCACATTTGCAAACTATAACTCTTGGCCGGCCGTTCCGTTTGTATGTGGCGGGCCTTATAGGTTTAAAACTTGGCCTGAGTATTCTTTTTGGCATGTTAAAAATTACCATGAACGGATTTTATGAAATTCCACCCACAAAGGGTAGTGCGAGGGCGTTAAATATAAAAAACCGCTAGTTTGGATTATAGTTTTTAACAATGACATAAATTCACGATTTCTCATACAGCACTCGGTTCAGTGTTCAAGTTCTATTAATACTCGAAATTTGTACTCTAATTTTATGTATCCGAATACTTTCATTTAAGGTCTCGAATACACGAGTATCTTCTAGGTACTCGTGTTCGTACTCGAGTCTCCCTAACTCGACACGTCGCTAGTAAGAATACCAAGCCTCCCCTATCGACTATCTTATAGGGGGAATACTTGCCATAGTTGCCACGCTTGGCAGGCAGGTTGACAACCGCAGGTTTTATTTTTTAGTTGTTATTAGGAAGACCCTTTTTTCCCTCGGTAGCCTTTTACGACGCCCACTGTACGATAGGGGTAGTGGATATTCGCACACCGCTACTACACGGTGAACTAATAATTTTATGACTTTGCAAGGACATTTTCATGAAATTGCAATACTTTTATGAATATAATGGTGACTGGAGTTTTATAAATATATTGATTTAATATTAAGATGAAGTTTTTACCTTTATAAAACAGTTTAGTAGATTGTCTATGACTTACCTATGTGCACGAATAAAAGCACTAAACAACAGTTATAAATATTTTTATTAGTAAGATATTATTATACATTAGTTAGGCGAATTTAACGTTCTGCCCATTAATGAAATTAATGAAACAACATTATTTCAAAATTGTTTAGTGACATAACGTTGTTATAATATTATTGAGTACACGTAACGAAATTTTTCTTTTTATCAAGTATGAAAAATCTCTCTTCTTGTGATTTGTCACATCCTGGGCCTAAATATCGACGTCTGAGTTCCAAATCCGGAGGTGCTGATATATCCCCTTGAAGTATGTTGTATGCTTGATCAATAGTACTTTCGATTTCCGACTTCAGTTCCTGAAATGATATTAGCAGATATAAATGAAAGATACATGTCTAACTAAATCCTAGGCGATAGTAAATTTGTAAATTTCAGTATTATATCTGTAATTATGTAGACATATACCTAGACTTATCTGCCGAATTCCAAAAAGGAGACGGTACTCAATTCAGGAGTGGAAGATACGATAGAATATGCAGAGATGCAAGAAAAGAGCCTACTCCTTTTTAAAAGGCCGGCAACGCATCTGCAATTCCCCTGGTGTTGCATATAATCTTGTTCCCATCTATACCGACCAACTGACGTCCAAGTGAAATTGTTTTCAATTACGTAAAATCTGTACGTCTGTAAAAACGGAGTCTCAGCGTCTGTGTTTACAAATTGTCCCTAATCATGCTTTTGGAACTATAGTGCCCCGCGTCAATTACCAGTAAAATTCCAATTGACAGTTGGGAGTACATACTTCATATAGGTCTGGCGAACGGCGGGCGCGTTCTGCCAGCGCGGCGTGCAGGTGATAGAGCAGCAGGCCCCGGAGGTGTGCGTCGCCCGCGCCCAGCGCCGCCGTCGTGCGCAGAGTGCCGCGGCACAGCTTCTCCTTCAACGCCAGTCGAGACTCCGACAGCTCTGTTAAATTACGTAAACTATAAAATAGTTCTTAGAAAAAGGCATAAAATATAAAAAAGTATTAAAGTTCATGTCCACTCCCGATATAAGTCTCATAGTAATTTTCGGAGACCTTGAATCTTCTAAATCAATTCGTAACAGTCTATTGTTATACAAGGGCCTCTTTTCCATTATTTGATGGATGGATTTGTCGTAATTGCCATATTTAGTATGTGCATGAAGGAGAAATGTAGGGATCTTTTCTCATACAGCGACATCACCCAGACTTGCTAATGTGACCACCCCTCGTGACCACCACCGTTGGGTGCTGTAAAGCACCCGAAACGTCGGGAATTAAAAAGTTAAATTAAACGCGATATATTCCGTACAAAATTAGTTTCATTCAGTAGGTAATAGGTAATTGTTTTGAAATGCATTATAGGCATATTATAAATGGCATATTTAATAAACATTAAAGAAATTAATAAGCAGTCTTACTTCCTTAAAACAATGATTCGCATGAACAGTTAAACATATAATAAAAATAATTAAACGTTAATAAAACGAAAGCCTCGATTGAGTTTTGAATAGACCTACTGTTTTTAAAGGTCATTGTAATCATATTGTTTTGCAACTTCTGAACCAATTTTATAAATAGGATATTAAAATAATTATAATTTTTTAACATACACACATTAAATTATAAGTTTTACAACATTATAAATGCAGTTATTAGTCTGAACGGATAGAGGGTAGTTAATTGGAAATTATAAAACAGTGGTATCATAAAAATACTATGAAAATCTCAAAACAGTAACTTCTTATATACTTATTAGAGACGTTAATAGTGTGGACACTGATATTTAAAAGATTAAATGATATTTATTATTTGTAAATAAATATATATGCATTTACTCTGTCACACCACACCATCAAAATTTGACATACGTATTTACCAGAGTATGTACGATCTTAGATATAAGAACTAAGCAGAAAAAATCTATAATAATATCTAGTAATTGATGTTTATCCTTTACGAGATTAATAACATCAAAATACCACATAATATGTATATCGCTGTGTGTTACTAACGGAACTGGAATGCAAATCCATCTGGTGACGACGTGTGGACGGGCGTTCCTTGCTGCTGCGCCCATGTCAACAGCGATCAATCGAACAACTGCCCCTCGTAGAATATTAGACCCCGATTTTATTCACTGCTTGCGTTCTGCCTACCCGTCGCATGTCCGTGCACATTGTCTATTCACTTAAGCAACGATGCGACATAAATTGCCTTTAATACTAATACAAGGCCTTGTGAGCGCGTTATGAATTTCCGTTCTTTTTTATATGTTCATATTATGTTTATGAAAATGCGCAGTTTCGCGACGACACGGTAGAACGCCGTGGGTGGACTATTTTAGTTTGGAGTGTTGAAATATGATTGTGTTTGTTATCAACAATCCAATGAAACAAAAATCAGTTAGGAACTTAGGAATATTCCTTTTTATTCATATTGTCATCATCATCATTATGACTCATCACAAGGCCACAGCTGGACATAGACCTTCCCTAATAAATACCACAAATCACGGTCTAGAACTCTTGAAACGCCACCTGCATTTATCCTATATGTTTAGCAGTCTATTTACTGGAAATGTTTTTTTAGATATTTTCTTAAAAAATTTTGTAAAAAATGTCCCAGACAAAGAGTTTCGATCTACATAATATTTGTTCGCGCTAGAAAGGACATGTATAAATTTTCGTAATTTGTTATGGTCTGTAACGCAGGTCGGTCGAGTTATTTGGACAATGTACCGAGATACCTCTGTATGCTTTCTTTTCCTTTAAAAATAAAATATTATCTGTTGCTTCATCCATAAATGAATTTTTATTCATTAAAATGTTTTACTTGATTTTTTATAACTAACAACAAATTAAGCTGATTTTATTATAATCTTTATTTTTTAAATAAAAAGGAGACATCTGATACAGCTTACAACTACGGAATATTAAAAATTCCTTGGTTAGAGGAATGAAAAAGCTTGTTTATAAAGCTACTATTTTAGAAAGAAATTTAAAATGATAGAACACCAAAATAATTTATTTTAAACTTGCCATCTAAAACTATTTTAATAATGAAGATATGCAAATTTTATATATTTTTGTAACACTTACGACAACAAACGATTACCAACCTTGGCATAATAAGAACCACAACATGCCCTAGAAACACTACACGGCTAAAAACGTGTTTGTTATTTTTAAATGTTTGTCTAATCAAATACATTTCAAATAATTTAAAATTAAAAATTTGTACAGCCGACTTCAATATTTAAGTTATTTAAGAATAATTCAAAAACTATTGGTCTGAACTTGATCAAATTCATATAGGACACGAGAAGTACCAGTTTTCAAATAAAAAAAGAATCATCGAAATCGGTTCACCCAGTAAAAAGTAATGAGGTTAACACACATAAAAAATACAGTCGAATTGAGGACCGTCTCCTTTTTGGTAGTCGGCAGATTATATAAAACCTTACAGTGTACCTTACAGTCTATAGATATGATGCTAATTATATTGACTTAATCATTAGTCGTTGGGATCAATAGATTCGAAGTTGTTGATGAGTATGGATACCTATACCTTATTAGAAGTACCTAAGATAAATTGTCCGACTAGGTCCAAGTCCAACTTCGATCGAGAGGTATCGACTCCAACTGGGCTTGCCAGCATTTAGTAGTAACTCAAAACAAGAGCGTATAAAAAAGTGATGATATATAGATCTGAGATTTGTGGTCCTTCACTGTTGTACATACGACGCAGGAAGCTCAAGTTCGTTCAACTAGCCACAGAGAGGGAAATATTCAGTGTTTCTCTGCGTGATAGACTTTATAATCACGATATACGCATTAGAACCAGAGTAACCGACATAGCCCTACGGATTGGTAAGCTGAAGTGGCAATGGGCCGGCCATATAGCTCGAAGAACAGGCAAGTGAAGGGTAGGTCGGCCCCCCACTACGTGAAGTGACGGTCTGGTAAGAGATGCAGGAAGTCGATGGTGGTGGCTCAGGACCGTGCTTTGTGGCATTCCATAATGGAGTGGACTTGTGATTGACTATAATGATGATGATGATGAATCACCATGTGGTGGTGGCGTAAGAGAATCCATTAGATTATAAAGTTTCATAATTTAGAATCAAAGTTAAGATATTCGATAAAAGGTAATAGCCGGGTACCCACCTAGCGCACAGGATCGTGCGGTCACCGAGCCTTCGCTCGCGAGCCGCACACCGAGCCCGTGCTAGGTGGGTACCCGGCTAATATAATATGGTATGCAATTTTCTTACATTTTAAAAATTCAATAATTTCAAAATTTTCTTACCTGAAGCCGATGTGATGAGGTTTTTTGAATAATTTTTAGTGCCTATTTATTTTAATTTATATTTCACTGGCTTTTAGGTTAGTCATGTTAGCTGAAAGCTGATACAACATAAAATACTTGACGTTTCTAAAATACCCTTTAACTTCAAACCCCCATCGTATCCCAGCTTAAGAGCTCTTTTAAAATCCAAGTCAAGAAATATGTGACTGTAAGAAGGCAAGAATGATTCCAATCGCTTTAATACTACATTTTGTTGATCAATGTCTTCTTCCTCAGATAGTATTCTAACGAGACTTCCGATAATAGATTGCAAAAAATTTATTTGTGTTATAGGTACTTTTGCATGACAAGTATCGCAGCACCAGTCTGTTGTTGGATTTATAGGATGTTGAGGCAGAAGTGCGCCCGCACACTCCTTGATAAAACATTTCAAAGCTGACAATTTTGTTCCCATTTCCGTAGCATCATTACATCTACTACATTTACACCAAAAATTCTTTGATATGTGTAATTGGTATCGTCTGACTGGAGTGCACCACAGAAGGCTGGTATAACAGCTTAATATTTCCTCTCCAATTTCTATATCTCTCGATGCGTATACTTCCATCGTTTTATCTTTCTTAAATATATTTCTTGTATTGGGCACACAACTATGATTCAAGAAAGCCGCTAAAGGATACAAACCACACAACCGTATTGTTTTTTCTCGATTGTTAGAAGGAATTCTAAAGGAATTTATTTTCAGAATCGAGTGCATGGTTTTCATAAATTCAATGTGGTCCTTTGGTATATGGAAACATGAAAAAATAGATTCTAAGTCTTGAAATGTGGAAGAAGTGTCGTGTTGTAAGTGTAGTAATATTTCTCTCTTTTCAGAGGATAAAAGAAATAATTGTATATAAATTCGAATTCGGCCAAGGATGCTTAAAAATTTTCTAGACTTTGGTTTCCAATATGTAGAAATAAATTTACATTCTTCTTGATGCATTTGCGACACATTACAATTTTCTAAGCACATTAACAATCCACATTTTTCGCAAGATTTGTTTTCATCACTAGTTTCATAACAATAAGAGCAAAATGATATATTAGAGTCACTATATCTTGGTCCAGTTGCCAGCGGTTTATTTGTCAAAATAAGTTCTCCTTTATGAATCCTTTTGCGAGCGAATAGTCCTCTTCCTCCGAAATCAGATTTTTGAATTATCCACAAAGGATTTTGTGAAGTTTCGAGGCATCCTTGAACCAGTAGCGTCTGTAGATTAGAAATGTTGTATACTTCTTTCGATTCAAGTTGTTTAGGGCGCGACATAATCATGTTGTGAACGATTCGAAATTAAATGTCAGTGCTCATAGACTTAACATCGATGTGCATGATCCGATCTGAAAATAGCGACTGGAGTACATACATATTTTAATCTGATTCATGGAGTTGTATCACGTGTCGTTTCTGACGTAATGTGAGTCCGACAGATTCGTCAGTTCGTGTTCAGTTTTACTATGCCTTGTTTTACTATAACTAGCTGTTCCGACAAAAAAAAATTCTTGTACGTACTGTATATACATTCAATGCATTTATTAAATAGCTGTTATTTTGACATTACTTTTTTGTATGACACCAAAATCCATCGACTTATGCATATCTTACCAGCTTGTCACTCCATCTAGTGGGGAATCATACTACACTTCGGCTAACGGCACGAGGCTGCCACTGGAGAACCTTTCTTCCCCATCAGTAGGCAATTCATCGCACTCCTTGGTCACCCTATGTTCAGCATTAGACTTGTGTAGGGCTGTAATGATGATGATGAACATGATGATGATGGAAAATCTTATAGACTCTTACCTATGCCTGCCGTATAACAACAACGTGTGCACTTTTGCTAACCGGTCTGAGGAATATTCAGTAATAACCTAAATATATGCAATAACTTGACTTCACCAGATCGCGAAATACATAAAATTTCTCAAACATTGGGATTTCTTCTCCAAGTTTTTTTTCGTCGATTTCCTGCTTAATGTAAACTTCAGAAGCTATAAATAGATTAGGGTATAATAAAGTGCTACAAAATAGTATGGAGTAGAAAAACATATATACAGGCCTATAGATTGCAGTAGCGTAGTCTGAAGGACGACGCTCCCATAAAATAATAGCTCAAAATAGCAGCATAATGCTGCTGTGTTTCGTATGATCAGTAACGAGGATCGGAGACCCTTTTTATTGGTAACGTGGTATTCTTGACCCGTTAGGTTACGTAGTAACTTTTTTATAGGATAAGGGTGACAAACGAGCACACAGTCCACCTGATGGTAAGTGGTTGCTGTGGCCCATAGATATCTACATCTATCATAGATTACGAAATAAAATGCAGATGCGTTGTCACCCGTGAGGGCTAAGATGGAATACCAAGTTTCCAGTAAAATGGGTTTCCACTTCTCTACACTCAACACACGAAACAAAGTAGCGTTGAGCTGCTATTTTACGATGGTATTCTGTGAGAGCGTGGTCCTTCCCCGTCCGAGCCGATAGCTACAATTATACTATTAACAAAGCTGCAGCATGGCTCTACCACGTAAAAACTAGTATGTCATCTGTGCCTTAGGAGTGGCAACGCTTCTGGTTTTGATTCTTCATCGAGGATAGATGGAGGTGTCTATGGGGCAAAGGATTTACTTACCGTTAGGAAGATCGTTTGCTCGTTTGTCACCACCATGTTTAAGATTGAAGGTAGGCTCATCATAACTATGTAAGTTATTTAGAGTTCAAAATAACAAATTCAGACACGAAAACACACAAATTTGGCTCTCACTGAGCTTCCAATTCGCGTCGCGGTCAGGAAATCTGATCATTAGTGAGCGATCGCCAACAGTTACTGTGTTTTGCTATTGAAATTAAAAGATTGGACAATATAATATATTGTGATGATTTATCGCATTAAAGTACTAAGTAGTAACTTAATACTAGTACAAAGTAATATGACATGATTTATTCAGTCCATCCATTGCAGCCTAAAAAATTCCACTGCTACGAGTAAACATAGGCCTTCCTCATAGATTGCCTCATAGGTGGGATTTTGGCATAGTTGCTACGCTTGGCAGGCGGGAAGCGCTGTTAGTAAAAAAAAATCCGGAGTGAAAACTTATCGCGCAAATTAACGGAATAGACAGAACAACATCTGCCGGGTCAACTAGTTAGTCTATAAAATTTAGTACGAGTAGATATAAATATTTATCATTGGTTAAGGTGAACTCGAGTCATAGATAATAAATATACATAACAAATAAAATTGTTCATAAAATATGAAAGCTTTTATAGCGCAATATTTTTTTCTACATTCGTTCCTACAAACTTTGCTTTCATTGTTTTACACGGTGATGGTAAAAAACAGTTGTTCGAGGTTGGTTTAAGTTTAAGTTTAGTTATAGTGCGGGCTCACCTACAAATTAGCGTTCTATAGACAAATGATAATAGCAAAAGCTTTCTGACTGTGACGAAATAGCGATGAATATAGTTCGGTGTTAAGTATTCGAACTGGAACGTTACTAAGCGTTGGAACGGAGATGCGCGCCATCAATTAGTACTATTAATAATCTCTAGTTAGCTTTGCCGTTATCTAGACACACAGCAGTGTGACAGCCAAGCTCGGAAAAGGAAAAGGCGACGTACGGGCACTGTGTATATTGACACGAACTATTTTTAGCTACTTTTTCACCTACATATACTTGCAATTTTGAATTAATAACGGCTCCTTTGAATATTTAGAATTTCATACTCCCACTTCTTAAAAACTTGAAATTAGGCAAATCAAGGTTTTTTATTAAGAAAAAAATTTGAAAGCTACAAATTGTTGACATTAAGCGTCGACAGAGTATTCTTTTATTTGTTATAAGCGAGTGCTTGAACACGATCCCACCTGGTGGTAAAAGTAAAAGATAATGATACCCTAGATGGTAATTTACACTGTCTTAGCGTAACAAAAGCCCAGATTGTATTCAGACGGAAGATGGACGCCGGCAAATTATTCCACTCCTTTGCTGTACGTATCACGAAAGAGGAAGAAAACCATTTTCCAATGCTGTGGAATATCGACAACAAAGGGGTGAAGACCCGCCGATAGCCCGGTTATCTGATGATGGAAAGGGGAGGGAGGAATTAAAGCATCTAATTCCTGTGCACCCTCCAAATGCATCCTATGGAATACCGAGAGGCTGGCTAGAGTAGTCAACGCCTGTTCTCGAGGCTGACAAGATTGGTTTCAACCAAATCAAGGTTACTAATAAGCTGCTTAGTACGTCTCTCCACTGAGTCTAACACTGTTAGGTGGCATTTGGTGCACCAGGTTATATGTGGCAACAGTACTCCATGCACAACCGGACTTGCGCTTATTGTAAGGTAAGAAGCTGCCCCAGCGTGAAGTGTTTCCGCTTGTTAAGACCCCTAGTATCCATGCGGCTGCCTTGACCCTGTACTCAAAGAACCACCCATAGTTGAATTTTGAAGAAATCTCAACGCCTTAGAACTGAAGTCGGTCAGTGTATTCCAAAGATACATTCCCTAAAGTAGGAGCCAGGGTGAGCGGGCTCGTTTAAGCCGTGAAAAGACATGCTTGTGTTTTGGAGGCGTTGAATCTAGATTGGCATCGCCCCATTCGGAGACTGCCTGCAGTGAGAGATTCGCACGCTCAACAATAGCTTTTCTTTCGGACTGGAATTGATCCCGACTGGCCTGAGCATTCGGCTAGTACCTCTCCACAAATGTGCTGTCGTCTGATCGTATCGTATTAATATGCAGCAGGAAGACAGTTGCGGAGAGAGCACATTCCTGAGGAACTCCGGCGTTTGTCGCGATAGTACTGGATGAACAGCAATCGAAGACGACTCGGAGAGACCGTTCACTTTGAAAGTCCTTTACCCAATCAATCAGGCTAGAGTATAAGCCGTACGCTGGAAGCTTACCCAAAACATGTAACAAAAACCCTGTGGTTCCCGTTAAGTACGTTATTAGGATCGGTATTCAAACCTATAGAAATAAGTTTTTTTTTAAAAACTCGACCATATTTTTTTTTTTAAATGATTTTATTACCTCTTACTGATACTTGCCGATGCTAAAGCTAAGTAAAGCGGGGTCTTTGACAAACCTTTTCGCCTGCAACTCCACCTTGGCTGCAGCAGTATGGGGAAAAGACACCCATCTCACCGCGGAACAGATATTCGTCCCCCCGGTGATAGAACTAGTTACTCTGTTTGGAACTCGGATAATCCTATGATATCCCAGTGAAACTTATATATGTCTTCTTTCGGATCATGTAACTCCTAGCCAGTCTTCAAAGTGCGTGCGTTAAATGTTGCCTAGTCGAATTGATGAAGGTATTTTTTTTAATAGGATAAGGGTGACAAACGAGCACACAGTCCACCTGATGGTAAGTGGTTGCTGTGGCCCATAGACATCTATATCTATTCCCGTTTGCGAATCAAAATGTAGATGCGTTGTTACCCGTGAGGACTAAGATGGAATGTCTCGTTTCCAGTAAAAAGGGTCTTCGGTTCTCTATATTTACATTAAGCTGTTATTTTACGCTGGTATTCTATGCGAGCGTGTTCCTTCCGCGATCGAGTCGACCCATTGGTGCTACAACTATACAATTAATATAGTTGCAGCATGGCTCTACCACGTATAAAACAATACTGCCACCGGAGATTCTTAGCTCCGCCGTTACCACAGTCGCCACCGTAGCTAGGAATAGAAAGGCCAACCGGCACTAGGGATCGTCCCTTTCTTCATGTGAAGAAAGGGACGATCTTCTTCCATTGGCATAGTTTACATACTTGGCAAGAGGATTGGCTACCTCAGTTTTTTATTATTTAGTTGTTATCAGATAGATGCTGCGGCCCATCTCCTCTAGTATAGTAGTAACCCACTGTCGTCTCTTACGACACCCACGAGATGATAATGTTTTGTGGATATTGTTACACCGCCACTACATCACGAACTACTTAACAACATAATAATTTCATGACTATGCTAGGTCATATTTATGAAATTATTGGATTTACGGAACTACGCGGTTTTATCGGGGAAGCCAACATCCCATGACATTATGACATTTGTAACAAGCTTGGTTTTATTTTTACCTATTATTTATGTTCTTAGTGTGGAGCTGCCATATGTTACCGTATTGCGGGACATGTCTCAATTTGGAGCGTTGTCCCGCGTCCCAGTCAGTTGTCACGATATGTGACTTATAAATAGTATTAGATATATTAAAAACTATAAGCCGTAAATGCACTATAGATTATGAAGATATTTGCATCGTCCCTTTTATAAGATTAATTATAGACAAGAAGAAGGCAGTCAATTTTTTACGTGGTAGAGCCATGCTGCAGTTATATTAGTAGCA